TACTAATGAAATTAGTTTGCTAACAGCAACAGGGATGAGTCAGTGAATGAGTCAGTTGGGTTTGTGAATCATGATTCACCAGTCAGTAAAGTGCTTCTCGAGTATTGAACGATTCGTTCATGATTCGCACATCACTAGAGCACACACACCGAACGCGACAGAAGCATATATACCTATATGAGAACATGCATAAATTAACTGCCTACATTAATTCATTGTAAACATACCTTCTGACTGGGACTTCGCTGCTGCCTCTTCGGGCTGTCTCTGGTCCTCGGGAAGGATGTTCTCCAGGGTCCGCACCATATTGCAGCTAGTCTCCCGCGGGGTGAGGAAGGGGTCCAGAAACCCCATGACCGTGTAGAACCTCCATTTCCTCCCCTTTACTGCTGCAGACCCACTACTCTTCTCCTTAACTACCCTCTTCTCCTTGGAGTATGTGTCCCTGAGGCTCTTCCACTTTCTCCTGCAGATGTCCTCTGAATAAACACATTCTCTTGTTAGCGGAAAGGTATTTGTACATCAGTGGGAAATAGTGGGACAGTAGGCGGGCTTGCTAGCTTTGACGCGGCTTCCCCGGGTCAGTGAAAAATTTTAAAAAGAGAAATTAATGAACTTACCAGGTTGCCCTATATCTTTACAAATCTTTCTCCAAGCTAGGTCCTTTTTATTCCTGTCTCGGTAGAAAGCACAGTTGATGTCATACAGCTCTGGGTGGCTGGCTACTGCCTTGATGAGCCTTTCCCACATTTTGAATGAAGAACAAATGACTTTGGCTGGACCTGCCCCTTTGAACTAGGCCAGAGCGTCGCGTCACCAGGTTCCTGATTGGTTGTCGTTGCGCGACTTGAAGCTGGGGTCCGATTTTTTCCAACTTGAGCGGCAGATGCGATAAGCACGAATGCATAAAATGCAGCGTGTATTTTATTTTGCGTCAGTCACGATACTTGGTCGCGCGAATCAGGCAGAAAGCGATTTCGCAATGCAAGTCAACTTGTGAAGTTTAGCGGGACCCCCAGTCGCGCTCCTCGCGCTCCTCCAGCTACTTCTTCTTTTTCTGTATAGGGTTTATTGGCGGTTGGCAAACAGCAAAACGGTGCATTACCACCACCAACTGGTGTGGAGTGTCCTCAGTTGACTTTACATGTAAACCAGAAGATCTTCTTCTTGACGGAGGCTCGCGAGATGGCGGACTGAGCAGTGGCATCTGTCTGAACCAGTGAGTGTTTTCTACAGTCAATGGTAGAAACCCAGGTACGGGCTGACATCTGACTAAAAAAGGAATACACAGTGGAACATTGCGGATGATGGGACTTTTACCTCAAGACTTTCCTACTCCACCTCCTAAACCTGTTCTTTAAAGCTGTTCATGTGTACCGTGTTCCAATTGAAAACTAACATTTCTTTTTTTCCCTTTAACACAAGGGAACTTAAAGACTCAATTAAGCATAAACTTCTGTTCTGCAAGGGGCGACAAGCAAATTGTTTTTTTTTCTTCCAGGAAACTCATTCTGAGGAATCTGATGTGAAGTTTTGGTCACAACAATGGGGAGATAAAAAAAATGTTTTAATCATGGTACAAACAGGTCTGCTGGGGTTGTTTCAACAGATGTCCTGGTAGGTTTTTGTGCAATATGGCAGACAAAGATGGACATTGGGTTGCCTGTGTGTTAAATACTGATAATACTCTGATTATTTTGATCAATGTTTATGGATTCAACAATGATCAAGAGAATAAGAACCTTTTGTATCAAATTTCTACAGTTATAAAGGAACTTAATACCAAATTCCCCACTGATTATATTGTAGTTGGAGGTGATTTCAATGTGACTCCCGAATGAATGGTTGGATAGATGGCCTTCAAAATTTTCAAGAGAACATAAAAACCCAATATTTGAAATTTTCGCTAATGATACTAAATTAATAGATGTATGGAGATACTTAAACAAAGATGTCAAACAATTCACCTGGCACAAACCTAATGGTCAAAGCAGGTCACGTATTGATTATTGGTTGGTATCCAACTCAATTTTACAATAGGTTAAGGAAACAGTTATCTCTAATGGCCCCATAAGTGACCATTGCACCATTATGCTAAGATTATAAAGCAAAGACCAAAACAACACATTTAAGGATTATTGGAAATTTAACTCTCAGATGCTGAGAAATGAGGAGTATTGTAATTCTATTAAAAAATAATAACTTTAGATATCCAGAATGACGAAGCCATCAATACACCGATACTCAAATGGGAATATCTTAAATTTAGAATCAGAAAAACCTCAGTCACATTCGGTAAAAAGTTAAACAGACAAAGGAAAGAAGGGGAATCAAACGTAGTAAAAGAACTTATGAATCTTTATGGCAAATTGAACTGGACTGAGGAAAAAAAAGGAAAAATTAACAACTTACAATCTAAATTGGACAAAATGTACCTTCATAGAGCCAACGGCACTTATTTGCGATCCAAAGCCAAGTGGATAGAAGAGGGTGAAAAGAACACTGCCTATTTTTGCAATCTAGAAAAACGTAAACAAGAATATAATTCAGTATGTAACCTAATAATCAACGGAGAGGAATGTACAGACCCTAAAAGCATTTCAAATGAAGTATTTACTTTTTACAGTAACCTTTATAAGTCTTCATACTCAGAACAAATTATCACCTCCTTCTTTGACAAAATCAGTATTTGGATTCCAGTAATTGATGATAATTTTAGAGAAATTTGTGATGAAGACCTAACTATAGAAGAATTTGATTTTGCTATCAAGAGCTTGGCATCTCGTCGCTCACCGGGACCAGATGGAATAACAACTAATTTCTATAAGCACTTTTGGGAAGATTTAAAATTACTATTATTCAGTGTGTATTAATCAAAAGGAGCTTATGACAACAATGAAAGAAGGAGTTATAAAATTAATTCCAAAACCAGGAAAAGATAAGAAAAAACTAAGTAATCTAAGACCTATAACACTCTTAAATAGGGACTACAAAAGTTTTAGCAACCAGACTAAAAATGGGTATTTCTGAAATAATTAGCCCAACACAATCAGGATTTCTCAAAGGACAGTTGATCCAAAATAATATCCGCTTGGTTTCGGACCTTATCGATTACAATTACCTAATTGAGGATGATGATTTTATGTTGTTCTTGGACTTCCATAAAGCATTTGATTCTATCGAACACACTTTTATTATTAAGACATTTAAACATTTTGGGTTTGGAGATGCATTTCTGCATATGATCACTATGTTATACACTGATATTAATAGGTGTGTTTCTCTTTCAGAAGGCACATGTTCCAGGTTCAGGGTGGAGAGAAGTATCAGGCAGGGCTGCAGCATCTCACCTCTTTTATTCATTGTAGCCACTGAACTACTTGCTATTACTGTCATAAACTCAAACATCAAAGGATTAGACATAAATAACCACAAATTAATAATAAGTCAGCTTTCAGATGATACAACAATATTTCTAAAAAATAAAGAACAAATTCCATTGGCCTTAGATACAATAAAGATC